CAAAAACATTTGGAAATCAACAAAAGACACTCAAAATGTTGAGTCTGGCAATGGAACGTCCAAAATTGCATTGTTACAACAATATTGTTATTTGATATAATTTTTTCCCGCTTTCAAACGTTACAAGGACACTTTGTCCCCTCAAGGACAAAGCGAATTTAAAATGCGTAGACAGTTAAATCCTTGTTTCTCGTCGTTGCTGTCAGTTGAAATCTTCACAGTTTTCCTGCAACATATCCATGCATTGTTTTCCTAGCATTTTCGCGATGTTTTTACAATAAAATCGTCGATTAAAACGACGGAATGCCATTTTTCAGTACTTGGCAATGGCCCCATCATGGCCATTTTACAACACCTCGTCGAACCCTCTCCTTTTCCACCATATTGGTGCGTCTGTAGCACTCGCTCAAACACGTTTAGAAGTTAGAATCTACAATGAAATCTTACCATGTTCCCACCGTCGAGAACTGCTCTTTCGTCTGAACGGGTCGACGCCATTCTCTTCCTTAATCTTCTTCGTTTTAATGAGCTCTTCTCAGTCGGAGCGCGCCGCATCGCCATCTTCGCCCGTCCCCGCCGTCTGCTCTCTCCCGTCTGCACTCCTCGTCCTCTGCCTGCGCTGTTATACTGATCGAGTCAGTGGACTGCCCTGAGCTTCAGCGTAAGCAGACACAACTTCCTCTCACTGCAGCATTCTGGGTAGAAGAAGCGCTGCGTCCATGACTGTATCTGTAAACTAACGTTAGATTTCAGTGACCGTAAAAACAAACACATTTTTACTCTAGAATATTGTCTATACTATCATTTAACCACAAATAGCCTACTAACGATACAACAACAAAGCATTCCCATTTCAAATAAAGCTGATACAATAACTACTTGCCTTACTGTACCACTTATATAAAGCCATGGCATTCTTAACAACGCAAAACATAAGAGCTGCTCAGTTTGTAGTTCTAAAACCAAGAAGATCATTTGCATTTATGAACCATGCGTTCTGACTAATTTCTTTTGTTTTGGATTTACATCAGAAATGGTCAAATAAATGCAGCCTTGATGAACAAGAGACTTCTTTAAAAAGCATTACAAATCTTACTGATCCCAAACGTTTGAACAGCATATCAAAATTTGATTTATGAGTAGTTTAGGCTACTTGAAGAGGCCTGAAGAGCAGTCATACCTTAAAAGTGTTAAACAAATAATAATTATTAGAAAACGGCAACACAGGATTGTGAGACTTTGAATAATTTACGTTTTAAAAAAACAGCAGCTTCAAAACTGATGTTTGAGATATGACAGTATGACAGTGTTATGTTGTAGAACTACGTTTTAAAGTCTCTTATAATAATGATACCCACAGACCATATTAGATTAATTGAAAATTGTTTTCTTATATATATATTATACCTGAAATTTCCAACCTGATCTCATCACAATGTGATTTAAATAACTCTCTCTGCCCTTCTTGATTTTGTAGTTTCATCTGAATGTCAACATTTGAAAGATGAAGTCAGTCGAAACAAGTTGAGGTTGATTGATCTAATTTTGTGTCTTCACTCAGTCCTTGACCTTAAATTGTGTTAAATATCAAAAACGTCTGTTAATTAATAAGGCCCAGAAGGCCCGTGTCATGTTAGTAGTGTTATTATATTTTAATTTAATACGCAGAGATATTATTCAGTAATTCCATGAGTTGTACATTTCAGACATCTTCACTATTCATTTATACCTATAGGATAATTGAGCTAAAATGATTCAATTTGAATTCACAGTGTTGCTATTATGACGTCTTTAATAATAATAATACAAATCAAAGAAATTCTGTAACTAAATAGTCAAAACTGTTTAAAACAGAATAGTATATGATTATTTTAGAATTTTGAATTCTTTTGTTTAATATTAACTTTATATTAATTTATATTATTGTTACATACATATATAAATAAGATTAGGGTGTATATTAACAGCATAACAATACAAAGAGCTTTTTCAATGCAACTTGCAATGGCCCAAATAAGACACATTGGATTAATTATATTGCAATATGACTAACATATTGCTCTAAAACTCATCTGCATAAATTGTATAAATACTTTTACCGTTTAATTTATGAACAAGTAGCCCATGTGTACACAGTAGCAGAAGCTCAGCTCTGTCAAGGGCTCTTTTCTATCTTCTCTAAACAGCTAGACTGCATACAGCAGTTGGTTACTAAGCAACTGTAATTGGATCATTCCTCCACTCCCTCCCCGTCCTTCTCTAAAGGCATGCCACGTAGGCATTAGCAAATGCTCAGGTGGACTGTTCATGGAAGGCAGAGGCCTTGAGCTGAACTCTATTGGTTGTCTGTGTACAACCTAGACTAAAATAAAAAAATAAAAAGTCAAATATAAGTAGAAAGTGGTGTCACAGCCCAGATGTAATTATGTAAATGATCATGTATGGTATTATGGCCTCTAATATCAGCACACAAATCTGGATGCATGTTAGTGTAGTACTGAATAAAACAAAGAAAATGTTTAAATAATGTTAAATAAAATATGGGCTGGTCTGAAAAATACACAGATATCTAAGAGCCCTCTTGAGGCCTTATATGAATTTTTTTTTTTTTTGGACTGTGGATCTGAACAAATTTGCAGTTCTTCCAACATAATGTACACTTGAGAGTTGACTTATAAACATTAAATATGCCCTTATGTTAGTATACATATTAATTGATAAGTTTTATTTGTCACAGGTATAGAAATGTTATTCAGTAGTAGTTTATCTATAGATATCTTTTGCCATTAATTGTAATAACCCAGTGAGATTTTTGTATGCACAACGAGTCTGACAACAGCCAGTGCTCCAGACAGAGATCGGATCTCACCAACATCCAGTCCATCCTGGGTTTACATGAAGAAACAGAACAAACTGAGACAGACGAAATCTTGTAGATGTCTCCAAGACACTAAAAGAGATCTAAAATCTGTGTGGAGCACTGGCTGTTGTCAGACTTCTTGTGCATACAAAAATCTCACTATATTGTTACAATTAACGGCAAAAGGAATACTCAGAAATGTAAACTGATATTTCCTATTGACATGCTACACACCACTTTTTTTGTTGGTGAAAAAAAATACTAATGCTCAAAGACTTTTGCACAGTACTGTGTATTATATATATATATTACACAGTAACAATACTGTCTTTGATCATTCAAACACCTTCAGCATTTTACATATTATCAGATTATTTGCTTAAGTTTAGAAAATGGTAATAAAATATGACAAGAACTCAGAGTTAAACTGTGTCAGAACAAATTCATCTTGATAATGTCAGATAACACTTAAGCAAATCATGGTCTGGTCAAAGTGTCTGAATAATTACTGGTCCCAAATTGTTATCAATTTTACCAGTAGTCCACTGTATGAAGAATTTTTGGGTATGTCACAGTTTACTTTATTTTGCTATCCTCACTTACATAAATGAACTATAGTGTCCTGCACCAACTAGTAAAAAAAATAAATAATTATATCTGGTGTCTGAATAATTTTTGGTTTGACTGTATATACACAGTAACAATACTGTCTTTGATCATTCAAACACCTTCAGCATTTTACATATTATCAGATTATTTGCTTAAGTTTAGAAAATGGTAATAAAATATGACAAGAACTCAGAGTTAAACTGTGTCAGAACAAATTCATCTTGATAATGTCAGATAACACTTAAGCAAATCATGGTCTGGTCAAAGTGTCTGAATAATTACTGGTCCCAAATTGTTATCAATTTTACCAGTAGTCCACTGTATGAAGAATTTTTGGGTATGTCACAGTTTACTTTATTTTGCTATCCTCACTTACATAAATGAATAATGTCAGATAACACTTAAGCAAATCATGGTCAGGTCAAAGTGTCTGAATAATTACTGGTCCCAAATTGTTATCAATTTTACCAGTAGTCCACTGTATGAAGAATTTTTGGGTATGTCACAGTTTACTTTATTTTGCTATCCTCACTTACATAAATGAACTATAGTGTCCTGCACCAACTAGTAAAAAAAATAAATAATTATATCTGGTGTCTGAATAATTTTTGGTTTGACTGTATATTTGTACATTGCGCCATCATGTGGCTAAACTATGCACTTTACTTCCCTGATCTTTAAGTTTCTTTGCTTTAGAAGGACTCCTCTGTTAAATATTGTTAAATAACAAGCTGGAGCACAGGAAAGCCAAAGCCTAATCCAAGAATAACCCATTTCCTTTACTTACAACCTTAAGTGGTCAAATCATGCATTTATCCCTGTAAGGTCCACTTATAATGTTAGTAAGTTTTTTGTTGTTGTTGCAATATAAACAGTCTCATTACATGTTTCATGACCATTTTCCACTCTCTCTAATATTAAGCCGGCTGTTTTTGCTGCAGGGTACATTTAATGCTCTCTTATTTTAGAAAGAGAGATTTTCTCGGATAAGATAAGGGTTTCAGGTTTTCTGTTGTGGTATATAGGCTAATTCTTTAACAAACACCTCTTTGTAAAGTCTACATAACTAGCTGATTTATAAAATAATATGTGTTCCTTGCAGTATACTGTTTTAATTGGCTGAAAAAATTCAAAATAAACTTTACCCACCTGTATCTAACATTCTAACACGTTTTTAAAGAGAGCCTTTGGATGGATGGATGGCTAGACAGACGGACAGACAGACAGACAGACAGATAGATAGATAGATAGATAGATAGATAGATAGATAGATAGATAGATAGATAGATAGATAGATAGATAGACAGATAGATAGATAGATATGATGGTTTGCAACATGTAGCATATATAATATTATAATAGCTAACATGATGACACATATGGCTACAGATTCAAATTCATTATTAAAATGTCTACTGTAAAACTGTCTGATGTGTAGACCACTCTCGTGTACAATGCAATATTTCGCCAATGAACACAACTATCAACATACGCCCTTCTTCCATAACACCACGTTTGTGGTAAGCGCTGATGCGCATTGGTTCCTCGTCTGGACCCTCCCGGAGCTCTTCCGGGTGTGGATAACCCACATTTCCTTCTGCCCACACGCATTCCCAAGAAAACATCCTGGATAACTGGCCGAGCTGCGTGGGAGTGCAAACCAACGAATGAAACAGAACACTCGAGCTGGCAGCCAGATAGTTCGCGAAGACACACACAGGACATGTTTGACGACCGACGGTGGGAACCGTGGAATATTTGAGATGTCAGCGCATCATTTCCAAACACCATTAGTCAGCCAGCTGTTGTTCACATTTCGAGTTTGCAGACCTTCTCTGTACTAAATCTTTTCACTATACAAGACGTTAAGCAAGCAGTTTAAATAGGGAAACAATATGTGGCGATATACTTTGGCTATTGCTCTCATTGTCATTGCGCATTATGTCAACGGAGAGCCACAAACGCGTCCATCCTCAGCGATGCAGCTGAATTCGACATTACCCCCTCAAGAAGAAAATTCATCACATAATGCAACAGATGCAGCGGTTGGATCTCGTATTTCTACCATTTTAAGGGATCTTCCTACCATCAAAAGCATTTCGATTTTCATCTGCGTATTAACAGTCTTGCTAATCACGTGCCTTGTCATAAAAATATTCAGGTAGGCCTAACATAATTTGTCTTATATCTAAATGGCTTTTTTGTTGGTCTGAGTAGGCCTACTTTGCAAATATTCTGTTTTTGTTGTTTCCAAGTAAATGCCACCTTGCTCATAATTGAAAATGGCGTAATTGTGTAACTGTTCTTCTAATATATATATATATATATATATATATAATATGCATAATTCGTTAATTTCGGAACATTCTAGATTCTCTGTTAGCGTTGACTCGTTATCCCTGATTTAATCCTCTAACTGCATTGGAAGCAGATGGTTCGCCTGTGGGAACCCGAGAACCGACTCAGAACCATAGGTGCCAAGTCCGCGTATTATACGCGACTTTGGACTTCTTTTTTTGTAAAGTTGCGTGAAAAAATCCCGGGTTGCGGTCGTTTTTTGGGCTTATTTTAAAAAATATGGTTGCTTGTTAGGGAAATCTGACAAGCAACTTCGTTTCTTTATTTATGTTCGCCGTATTCTCCAACGCATTGGTTGACACTCTGTCTGCTCACAGTTAATAGCCAACCAGTGCAATATTATAAGTGCTGCATCTTAATTTGCCAAATGTTCCGCCCCCTCCTCCTTTGTGATCAGAGAAATGACTAACAACAAGCCCTACTCTACACTGCCCAAAAAACTTGCTTTAAATATATCAAATATAAAAACTCTTTAAATATAAAAAACGTACTTGCAGTCTTTGAGTCAGAACAGCTGGCATTGTAGTCTACTCTTCCAGGATCAGGAAACAGTCCTCCATAAAATGTGCTGCACACATCTGAATATTTGGGTTGAAGTGTTCTGGAACAGTGTTGTAAATACAACTTGACCACTGATTTCTAGTCGTGTCCATTTTTGGAAAGCCAAACAAAGTAGTTTCGCTTTCACAATGAAACACACAGCGCCTTCACGACATGGCGGTGGCAACAACAATACTACAGCGAGAATGAAAGTTGTGCCGCCTTTCTTTGTGTGAACATTTGGGTGGCGTTATGCAAATCTTCCCACATAGTGATGTAGATATGTGGGGGCGTGTTTAGAACGAGGTGTTTTAGGTATGCGTGGCTGACTCTTAACTTGTATAAAGAATATCTCTTTGGATTTGAGACTTTAGTCTTTGCAACTTTACAGATCTTCTTTATGTACCAAGAGTTGTAACACTCCAAAGAGAAAGGAACAATTGAAATCGCATCATATGACCCCTTTAATGAACGTGGAACGTTTGTGTTTTGTGGTAGAAAGCGAGACTGCGTCAATGCAGTTACTGACTAGGACATATAATTAAATAGCCTATATTATGAGTTTTGCTGACGAAAAATATAAATTAATTACATGATAATATATTCTAGAATCAGTCATTGTCATCTCTAGAAAGTCTGTGAAAAGCCTGTCACTATAAACACAACCTTTGAAAGAATTATTTTATTTGTTAGATCAGTTCTAAAATGAACCAACTTGGCAACAGACTGTGAAGGGAAGGGAATGACCATTTCTTTTTTCAAAATGACTAAAATGATCATTAATAGAACAATTAAGGAATCAGAATCAGTTTGATGAATCGGAATCGAAATAAGAATTTCACATTACTAGACTCACTGCAAAACTCTCATACACTATTGAACATACAGGTCATAACATCACTCACCTGTCCTCTCTATCCCTGGTTTGATTAGATCGGCAAAGAAGATCAGAAAAACGCGCAAGTATGACATCATCACAACTCCCGCCGAGCATGTAGAGATGGCGCCTTTAAATGAAGAAAATGACGAAGACGACGACTCGACCCTGTTCGATGTAAAGTACAGGTGAATACTTTACCACAACATGCTTTATGTGCAGTGACATGAAATGAGATCTTTTCTATTAACTTTTGTCCTCTTTTAGTTATTTTTGTTTATAGAGGTGTTCCAGTGCTTTTTAAAATGGACTTTTTAAAAACAAGTTGAAGGGAGGGGGACTAGCTTAATACCTAAACTAGAGGCATGTGGGTCTGGGTCATACACTCTTAAAAATAAAGGTGCTTCACGATGCCATAGAAGAACCTTTTTGTCTAAATGGTTCCATAAAGAACCTTTAACATCTGAAGAACCTTTCTGTTTCCCAAAAGGTTCTTTGGCGAAAGAAGGTTCTTCAGATTACAAAAACGCAAGAAAGAGATGGTTCTTTAAAGAACCTTTGACTGAATGGTTCTTTGTGGAACCAAAAATGGTTCTTCTATGGCATCGCTTGAAGAACCTTTTGAAGAACCTTTATTTTTAAGAGTGTATTTGATTTTGTTTCCAAGTCTGCATGTTAAATACCTTCAATCTTCATAGGAAAACAGGATTCAGTTTCTTCCCAGATGGCTGGCAATAAAAGTAGTCTGTGCAGTGCAGCTACATATTTTTCTCCAGTTAATATGACATTTGAAATGTTTCAGTAAACAGTGGCAGCATAGTGGGAGCGCCAAGGAAATGGTGCTAAATAGAACAAAGCCTGAAATGTCTAAGGACTTTAATCTCATTAGAATAAAATATTAATGGAAAATGGCTTCCTAAGCACTTTTTACTAAGGAAGAGTGTTTATGTGCTACCTTTCTGCCAGAAATGTTTGGTTTTGACACAGACTTTAGTTGTTAATGTTTTAAAATGCTAATGCTTCCCATTTTTGTGTTGCTGGGCAATAACTAACATGGTACTATAATCTCATTTAAAAAAAACAAACATGTTTTAATGTCCAGTAGTTGTTTATTGACTATGAATGTTCTTGGTGTGTGACCTCACAGGTCACAATGGAAATAGTTGTGTTATTTGGAGGGCTAGTGAGCGTCAAGACTTGACTTCTGCCTTCCGTCCGATTGTTCTTTGACTGAGAAACTGCTTCCTTTTTGCTGGGCATGGCTCCCTGTTTATCAGCTTTTTATTGGCAATGTAGCTGCTTGATAGTAAGGCAGACCAAGACAGACAGACAGATAGATAGATAGATAGATAGATAGATAGACAGACAGACAGACAGACAGACAGACAGACAGACAGACAGACAGACAGATAGATAGATAGATATGATAGTTTGCAACATGTAGCATATATAATATTATAATAGCTAACATGATGACACATATGGCTACAGATTCAAATTCATTATTAAAATGTCTACTGTAAAACTGTCTGATGTGTAGACCACTCTCGTGTACAATGCAATATTTCGCCAATGAACACAACTATCAACATACGCCCTTCTTCCATAACACCACGTTTGTGGTAAGCGCTGATGCGCATTGGTTCCTCGTCTGGACCCTCCCGGAGCTCTTCCGGGTGTGGATAACCCACATTTCCTTCTGCCCACACGCATTCCCAAGAAAACATCCTGGATAACTGGCCGAGCTGCGTGGGAGTGCAAACCAACGAATGAAACAGAACACTCGAGCTGGCAGCCAGATAGTTCGCGAAGACACACACAGGACATGTTTGACGACCGACGGTGGGAACCGTGGAATATTTGAGATGTCAGCGCATCATTTCCAAACACCATTAGTCAGCCAGCTGTTGTTCACATTTCGAGTTTGCAGACCTTCTCTGTACTAAATCTTTTCACTATACAAGACGTTAAGCAAGCAGTTTAAATAGGGAAACAATATGTGGCGATATACTTTGGCTATTGCGCTCATTGTCATTGCGCATTATGTCAACGGAGAGCCACAAACGCGTCCATCCTCAGCGATGCAGCTGAATTCGACATTACCCCCTCAAGAAGAAAATTCATCACATAATGCAACAGATGCAGCGGTTGGATCTCGTATTTCTACCATTTTAAGGGATCTTCCTACCATCAAAAGCATTTCGATTTTCATCTGCGTATTAACAACCTTGCTAATCACGTGCCTTGTCATAAAAATATTCAGGTAGGCCTAACATAATTTGTCTTATATCTAAATGGCTTTTTTGTTGGTCTGAGTAGGCCTACTTTGCAAATATTCTGTTTTTGTTGTTTCCAAGTAAATGCCACCTTGCTCATAATTGAAAATGGCGTAATTGTGTAACTGTTCTTCTAATATATATATATATATATATATAAACCAACTCCGACCAATGCCAAAAGGGGTAACACACTGATCCAACAAACTCTGACAGACTAGTCTGTTGGCGTTTGTCGGTGCGGTGTGAATTGGCCTTTAGGGGTCATATGATGCTGCTAAAAAGAACATTATTTGGTGTAATGAAATGTTTATGCGGTTTAAGGTTAAAAAAACATTATTTTCCACATATTGTGTAACTGTTCTTCTAATATATATATATATATATAATATGCATAATTCGTTAATTTCGGAACATTCTAGATTCTCTGTTAGCGTTGACTCGTTATCCCTGATTTAATCCTCTAACTGCATTGGAAGCAGATGGTTCGCCTGTGGGAACCCGAGAACCGACTCAGAACCATAGGTGCCAAGTCCGCGTATTATACGCGACTTTGGACTTCTTTTTTTGTAAAGTTGCGTGAAAAAATCCCGGGTTGCGGTCGTTTTTTGGGCTTATTTTAAAAAATATGGTTGCTTGTTAGGGAAATCTGACAAGCAACTTCGTTTCTTTATTTATGTTCGCCGTATTCTCCAACGCATTGGTTGACACTCTGTCTGCTCACAGTTAATAGCCAACCAGTGCAATATTATAAGTGCTGCATCTTAATTTGCCAAATGTTCCGCCCCCTCCTCCTTTGTGATCAGAGAAATGACTAACAACAAGCCCTACTCTACACTGCCCAAAAAACTTGCTTTAAATATATCAAATATAAAAACTCTTTAAATATAAAAAACGTACTTGCAGTCTTTGAGTCAGAACAGCTGGCATTGTAGTCTACTCTTCCAGGATCAGGAAACAGTCCTCCATAAAATGTGCTGCACACATCTGAATATTTGGGTTGAAGTGTTCTGGAACAGTGTTGTAAATACAACTTGACCACTGATTTCTAGTCGTGTCCATTTTTGGAAAGCCAAACAAAGTAGTTTCGCTTTCACAATGAAACACACAGCGCCTTCACGACATGGCGGTGGCAACAACAATACTACAGCGAGAATGAAAGTTGTGCCGCCTTTCTTTGTGTGAACATTTGGGTGGCGTTATGCAAATCTTCCCACATAGTGATGTAGATATGTGGGGGCGTGTTTAGAACGAGGTGTTTTAGGTATGCGTGGCTGACTCTTAACTTGTATAAAGAATATCTCTTTGGATTTGAGACTTTAGTCTTTGCAACTTTACAGATCTTCTTTATGTACCAAGAGTTGTAACACTCCAAAGAGAAAGGAACAATTGAAATCGCATCATATGACCCCTTTAATGAACGTGGAACGTTTGTGTTTTGTGGTAGAAAGCGAGACTGCGTCAATGCAGTTACTGACTAGGACATATAATTAAATAGCCTATATTATGAGTTTTGCTGACGAAAAATATAAATTAATTACATGATAATATATTCTAGAATCAGTCATTGTCATCTCTAGAAAGTCTGTGAAAAGCCTGTCACTATAAACACAACCTTTGAAAGAATTATTTTATTTGTTAGATCAGTTCTAAAATGAACCAACTTGGCAACAGACTGTGAAGGGAAGGGAATGACCATTTCTTTTTTCAAAATGACTAAAATGATCATTAATAGAACAATTAAGGAATCAGAATCAGTTTGATGAATCGGAATCGAAATAAGAATTTCCCATTACTAGACTCACTGCAAAACTCTCATACACTATTGAACATACAGGTCATAACATCACTCACCTGTCCTCTCTATCCCTGGTTTGATTAGATCGGCAAAGAAGATCAGAAAAACGCGCAAGTATGACATCATCACAACTCCCGCCGAGCATGTAGAGATGGCGCCTTTAAATGAAGAAAATGACGAAGACGACGACTCGACCCTGTTCGATGTAAAGTACAGGTGAATACTTTACCACAACATGCTTTATGTGCAGTGACATGAAATGAGATCTTTTCTATTAACTTTTGTCCTCTTTTAGTTATTTTTGTTTATAGAGGTGTTCCAGTGCTTTTTAAAATGGACTTTTTAAAAACAAGTTGAAGGGAGGGGGACTAGCTTAATACCTAAACTAGAGGCATGTGGGTCTGGGTCATACACTCTTAAAAATAAAGGTGCTTCACGATGCCATAGAAGAACCTTTTTGTCTAAATGGTTCCATAAAGAACCTTTAACATCTGAAGAACCTTTCTGTTTCCCAAAAGGTTCTTTGGCGAAAGAAGGTTCTTCAGATTACAAAAACGCAAGAAAGAGATGGTTCTTTGTGGAACCAAAAATGGTTCTTCTATGGCATCGCTTGAAGAACCTTTTGAAGAACCTTTATTTTTAAGAGTGTATTTGATTTTGTTTCCAAGTCTGCATGTTAAATACCTTCAATCTTCATAGGAAAACAGGATTCAGTTTCTTCCCAGATGGCTGGCAATAAAAGTAGTCTGTGCAGTGCAGCTACATATTTTTCTCCAGTTAATATGACATTTGAAATGTTTCAGTAAACAGTGGCAGCATAGTGGGAGCGCCAAGGAAATGGTGCTAAATAGAACAAAGCCTGAAATGTCTAAGGACTTTAATCTCATTAGAATAAAATATTAATGGAAAATGGCTTCCTAAGCACTTTTTACTAAGGAAGAGTGTTTATGTGCTACCTTTCTGCCAGAAATGTTTGGTTTTGACACAGACTTTAGTTGTTAATGTTTTAAAATGCTAATGCTTCCCATTTTTGTGTTGCTGGGCAATAACTAACATGGTACTATAATCTCATTTAAAAAAAACAAACATGTTTTAATGTCCAGTAGTTGTTTATTGACTATGAATGTTCTTGGTGTGTGACCTCACAGGTCACAATGGAAATAGTTGTGTTATTTGGAGGGCTAGTGAGCGTCAAGACTTGACTTCTGCCTTCCGTCCGATTGTTCTTTGACTGAGAAACTGCTTCCTTTTTGCTGGGCATGGCTCCCTGTTTATCAGCTTTTTATTGGCAATGTAGCTGCTTGATAGTAAGGCAGACCAGTTTGACAACTGGAAACTTGATATTGTTTTAGTTTACTTAACCCTCTCATTTAAATTCTTTGCTTTTTCATAGGTGAGTCATTGTTGAAGATCTCTTTTAAACCCCGCTGGATACCTCTGTGTGAACATATCTATACAGGAATTGTGCTCCCTGTACCTCTGATTTGATCCATCCTCAGAGGCTTGAAACCTCAGTGGAACAAGAGTTTTACATGTATTGATGTATTAATGTGTTTTGGCATTCCAAACCAGCATGAAATCTGATGTTTAATGAAAGTTTTTCCTGTTTAAAGCACAGAAAGTTAGGCTAATCAAAGATTAAGAAAAAAAAAAAAAAAAGAAGGGAGACACTAAAATTAGTCCTCCACAACTTTTCCTTTTGCCCAGAAACATTCCAGTTGTTTGGTAGAAAGTCTGTAATTCAGTATAATATATTCAATATTGCCCTTGAATGTACACTGAAGCTATTTTAAGTAATATATTTTTAAATGTAATTATAATATCATTGTTTTTTTGTTTTTTAATAATTCCAGACTATTAAAATTATTCTACTCATGGAGCTCAAATGTTAAGTCAATCACATTGTTTTACTTTAAGTGATTTAGCTGTGCTTGAATCAGCTCAAAGTTTCAAATGAAAAGAATAGTTTTATATTTGTGATGGACAGAGATTATTATTATTTTTTTCTAAATCTGACTATTGACAATGTTAAATGGATGTTTATGATCCAATACTGAAACTGTCTTTATGATATACTATTGTCTGTATATACTGTATGCAAATTATTTCTCTGGAATAGTTTATTTTTAGAAAAAAATTACATTTTGATTTAATAAGAGTAATATGTTTCAAACCTCCTCCCTATATTTTGAGAATGATTAATTTACTAACCACTAATTGTGCATATTTACTGTATAAGGGTTGAATGTATGTGTGAAAGAGGATGGATGTGGAGTTGAAAGATTATTGTTGCCATTTTGCTGCTCTCCGAGGTTGGGGATTGTTTTTTTTATTGTCGCATATGCACATCTTTTTTAATGAACTCTTTTTAGTGGAAAACTGCAGTACCACACATCATGAAGGGTTTAAACACCCATATATAGCCGTTATCGTATCAGACATATTAAATTATATTTCCCATATTTAGAGAAGCATTGAAAGAGTATCTTTGAATTATATTAAAGCTACAGCGACATATTGAATTATGGGTGACACTTTATTTTAAGGTCCAATTCTCACTGTTAACAAATCATTAACTACGACTTTTGCTTCAATAAACTACTAATTTGCTGCTTATTAATAGTTAGCAAGGTAGTTGTTAAGTTTAGGTATTGGGTAGGGATGTAGAATATGGTCATGCAGAATGTGTGCTTTATAAGTACTAATAAACAGTCAATATGCATGCTAGTAAGCAACTAGTTAATAGTGAGAATTTGTCCCTATACTAATGTGTTACCGAATTATGTGACTATCTTATCTTGATGCTAATGTGAATGACTAATGTCCAGCATCTAAGGACCAATAAGAATGTGTATTGAATTATAAATTGTTTATGGTGTAGCTGTTCTTGTTGGACTAGAAACTGAAGTATGCAATTCTCTCTCCCTCTGTTCTGCTCTAAATGTTTCCAACTTCCTAATGTATTTCCTACTAATCTGAATTCATGCTTTAAAGTGAAGGAGAGGAATGAGAAGTAAAAACATGTATTAAACACGAGTGATTGCTGATGGCTGTAAAACTGCACTGTTATGATGAAATGTTATTTCTGCACCGTCTTGTCTAAAGTGTCCCCCCCCCCCCTTGTCATTCTGTAATAATTGAACATGTCTTAAAATACATGCTTTAACTTTTTCCTGGTTTTGTCTAACATGTTTGCTAGTCTGAACACTGGACAAAAAAAAAAGGTTTTATTATATCAACAACAATCTTTCTTTCCAAAGAAAACTTGTCGATATGCTAATTGTAAAATATTGTTTTTGAAGTGTACCAAATCATAAATGTACTTTTTTTGGTTCTTGATTAATACTTTCTAAATGAAATAAATACAAATCTTAATCCAAAAGATGCATTAGAATTATTCAAACAAGGTTTGTCAAGTGCGTTGTTTAAAACCTGGTTTGAGCTTGAATGTGAGCTGGCATATCTAAGATCTGCCACAATCTTGTTAACCAGTAACCGCTCAAGAACAGAATAACATACAAGTCAAACACATTTTCCATTTGTCTGTTTCCCTCTAGCCCAGTATTAGTCAAGCTTTAGCACAATATTTTGGCTAACTCAACAAATAGATGCAAATGGCAAGTTTCAAAATTAGTACTAATATGCAAATAAGGTAAAGATGTACCTTTCAGCCACAGTGACAACTTTGTGCCTTTTTTCTTGACGTGCACCTAAAATGTATCCATGTTGATAGCCCTCTTAGTTTTATTCATTATTACTTTGAGTTATAACATTATCATGTTTGTTTTTTTTGTAGAGAGTTTCTTACTGAGAGTTTGAGAGAGTAAGGTTCACTAAATGTCACTTCATTAATTGCAGAAGGCAGACACATTTTGTTCCACAAAACAATTCTGGCTTTAAAAATCCATTTGAAGTTTTATGTGGAACTTTGGTGTTAAATGAGCCTTCAATCCTTTGTGGCTGTTCCCCTCTAAAATAACTTGTGAAGCACCACAGAGAATATTGTAAATTCTCTTTTTGCCTGACATAAAGGGCTTTAAAAAAATTAAAAATTAATACAAAAAATTTAAAACATACACCCATAAGCCTTTAAAACATGCCACAGTTCTAGAAATTTGCCTGTCAAGACATCACGCCACATGTTTCTCAGAAAATATAGGCTAAAACGCTGTTATGGCTCAGAGATCATAAACTATTTCACTTTTCCCAGACTGGATTCATTTTGTGGCATCTCCTGTTTTCTCAGGTCCCATTTCTCTTTTTATTTAAAGGCTAAAACACTTTATTAAAGTAATAGTTTACCTAAAAATTAACATTTGCTGCAAATGTTCTTACCCTCAGACCATCTAAGATGTAGATGAGTTTGTTTCTTAATTGGAACAGATTTGAAGAAATGTAGGATTACATCAGTTGTTCGCCAATGGATCCTCTACAGTGAATGGATGCCGTCAGAATGAGCATCCAAACAGCTGATAAAAACATCAGAATGATCCACACGACTGCAGTTCATCAATTAATGTCTTGTGAAGTGATTAAGCCATTGCTTGTGGCCAAAATACGGATTGCTTGTGGATTATTGTGATGTTTTTATCAGCTGTTTGGACTCTCGCTGTGACGGCACCCATTCACTGCAGTGGATCCATTGGTGAGCAAGTGACAATGTTACATTTCTCCAAATCTATTCTGATGAACAAACAAACTCATCTACATCTTGAATGGCCTGGGGGTGAGTAAATTTGCATCAAAATGTTCATTTTGGGTGAACTATTCCTTTAAAATATAACACTTTATTACCTGCATGACTTTCTTGTAAGTTGCCTTAGTTCAGAGATCCAGCGTCCAATTTAAAATATGCATTTAGACCGAAAGAACAACATGGATTCTACACAACCTGTCACGGTTGTGTAGAATCAGCAGCTCTCATCTCCACAAACATCTGGGCTATTTTGGGTGTGAAGTTAATAGGGTCCCTAACCACACAGGTCATTCAGTAAAAACAGAAACAAAAGGAAAGGTGTCTCCTCAAAAACCAGACACTGTGGTAATCATTAACACATCCTAAAAGCAGGAACCATGGGCATCTCTTCTGAACATCCTCCAAGCGGTGACCCGCAGTCAATTGCGGCGTAACTAAGTTTAGTCATATTGGTTACAGACCGTTTCTATTTTTTTTCAAAACACAGGTGCGTTTACGGATAAATGCATTCATTATGACTGATGGCCTGCTGATATCTGTGATGAGATAGTTATCTATTTTTAACTTAACTGGAGACATAAGAGCAATATGTAGTGCAGCAAATGCTCTGTTAAAAACACGACAGATCACATGGTTCAATCCATACGAGGAGCTCCTCACTGGGCTGGTGTTTATGCAGAAATTTTTTTCAAACATCTCTAATTGTGATTAACTGCCTCCAGAAAACCACTAGCAAACAACTTCTAGGAAACCGTCCTTTTATTAGACCTCAAAGCAAATGTAATTCAATTCGTCACTCAGCTATTTTTGGAAAAACCTTTTTCTTTTTTTTTTTGGTGCAGGAGGGCAAACATATAGTGTGTCTATTTTAAAGATCTATTTTCAATAGTTTTTTTTATAACCATTAAAAAATTAAGTAATATTTCCCCCCTTACATCTTAAACACGTTCACATTGAAATTAAAGAAATGTAAATATTTTATAAAGGTAATGTAAGGTAAATTTTTTCAGATGTTGATCACACTATTTCCCATGTTACAAAAACGGCATTCTTCCATCTTAGAAACATTGCCAAGTTACGAAACATGATACCTGTTTCTGATGCAGAAAAGCTAGTTCATGCATTCATGACCTCTAGACTGGACTATTGTAATGCACTTCTAGGTGGTTGTCCTGCATCTTCAATAAACAAGCTACAGATAGTCCAAAATGCAGCGGCTAGAGTCCTTACCATGAATTTATCCTTTTTTTATAAGTTTTTTTTAATATACATGTAACCAATGAAGTAACTCTGCAAAATAGTTTTTCTAAGAAAGGTTGTTTTTCATTGTTATGATAGGATATCAATTCTGCATTGAGCAAGGCACCAAACCCCCAACTGCTCCCCAGGCACCGCAGCAAAAAATGGCTGCCCACTGCTCTGGGTGTGTGTTCACGGTGTGTGTGTGTGTTCACTGCTGTGTGTGTGCACTTTGGATGGGATAAATGCAGAGCACTAATTCCGATTATGGGTCACCATACTTGGCCACATGTCACGTCACACTTTTAAATTTAAAAAGTCAATGTGCACTACCATTCCAATTTTGTTTTTTTGGAATGGTAGTGCACATTCCAAAAAAGTAACAATATTACTTTTACTGTATTTTTTATTTTTATTTAAATGCAGCATCGGGAAGCATAAGAGACTTTGAAAAACTTTTTTTTTTTTTCTTTTAAGTTTACTGACCTCAAACTTTTGAATGGTAGTGTGTGCATGAATAAATTGAAAGGAAAACAAAAACATTATGTCAAGTCATTGACCCTTCTATCACACTGGACAAATGAGCACAGCAGTAGGCTTTTTTACTTTTAAGTTATCAAATACATTCACTTAAACGTGTAATACGTCACATACAAAAGAATCCCAAAACTCCCCCCCCACCCCGAAAAACCCTCATTAGATACAGAAACACGTGTGGCTTTAACAAATTCCACAGTTTACGCACTGAACATCTCTTCACGGTTGACCATCCTTGAGTACACAAGAGTGTGTGAACAGCTGTGTGTGAACTGGATTTGGCTACAGTATCTCAGCATGGGGCTGCACACGCTCTGATAGCTGCCTCACTGCAAACATGTTCAACTACACCAGTGTGTTCAGACGGTTGCAGTGCACAAGTTCCACAAGTACTACTGCACATCAATGCAAAAGTTTTTACGCTTGCTAATAGTCACAACACTTACTCACTGTCTTTCTAAGGCAACTTTATCAAGTGTCACATGATGCAACATGACATCATCTCTCACTTGAGGCACTAAATTATTGTCCAACGTATCGTCTAAAATAATTTATCTAGCAACGTAGTGGTAAAACCCCTTTAAAATGTTAATTAAGTCTAAATTGTGCCATGTTAAATTTAACAAGTGACACAACAGTCCTACATTCAGTCATGCTGTCTGTGGGCTCAGCAGACACATAGACTGTAAAGGCAACAAATAAATAACATTCTTAATTTAGCCTTTCTTTTTTAAACACAAACTGTCCCAAAAAGCTACGACTAATTTTATCCTCTCAGATATGCCTCCACCTTGTAGCCACTAAATCTAAATCTAAACTAAATCTGAACAAATAAGACACTTAAAGGAATAGTTCATCCAAAAATGAAAATTTGATGTTTATCTGCTTACCCCCAGGGCATCCAAGATGTAGGTGACTTTGTTTCTTCAGTAGAACACATTTGATGATTTTTAACTTTAACCGTTGCAGTCTATCAGTCGTATAATGCATGGCAATGGTAACAAAATCTATGAGAGTAAAAAAAACGTGCACAGACAAATCCAAATTAAACCCTGCGGCTCGTGACGACACATTGATGTCCTAACACACGAAACGATCGAAGACACGAAAGAGCGCATACACACCTCACGCACCGGATGCCGTGTGCGCTCAAAGACAGTTGGACATAGTGGTGTATTAGAGGTAAAAAATGA